GCGTCTGAGCCAGCTCAAAATGTTTCCTAATACCATATCTAGTATTATTTTATAAAAATAGAGCTAATCCGTAAAAATATATTACCTAAAGGAGAAAATCTATCTATAGATTTTTAAAATATGATCGAAGTGATACATAAATAAAAAATAGTTCTATATGTGGGAATGTATTATATTAGCTTCATATTTGCTTGCATCTTACAGACAGCCAATGCATGTAAGCATGTGCGACAACCGTTAAGGTGCTAAAGCATAAATAAACATGTTCCTGATTCTCATTAAAGCTTGTAAAGTGCATATATGATATAATAGTGATACACTGCCAATCATCTGTGCATCTACTTGTGCGATAACATAATTTCACACATAAATCAATCCATCAAAAAATATTTTATATTTTTTCTCTTACAATGTTCTAGAAAAATAATATATTAACTGATATGTATATTTGTTCGCCTCCGGCTGAGAGACAGACTATTTTTACTATTATGAGGTTTTCCTATTCTGACTGAAATACATTATATAATATTGCCAGATCATAGTTTAAGTAGACAGATGAAAATCTATATGCATTATCCCCAATGCCTTTCTAAATATCGAGATCATCAATACGCACCCTACATGCCCCTATTCTCGAACACAACATTTTTGGTGTAAAAGTCGTTTGCATATTCTTCTGCTTTGACCCTAACATGAGCTCAGATCCAAAGAGATGTGAATGAGAAAATTACAAATATTATAAAGGGCAGTATAGTGAATTATTACGTCTTTACATTATTTTTTTTACTTTGCTTAGCAAGCTTTATACTAAAATTTATCTTATATTTTATTAAAATATGGAAAATTTTCTTTTAACATGAGAACCCCTTGATATCGTCAGAATTTCCACAGCGCTATTTGTACAAATAGAGCAGAATGAATGGACAGGCGTTTTCAAAAAGGAGGTAAAGAACTTTGAAAATGTTCTGGAGTAAGTATTAGAACAAGTTCCCTAAGAGGATATCGAGTGGATAAAGAAGTTTCGAAGTTTTAGTACCAGAAAAAAATTGGCAAAATGGGTAAGATAAATGAATTATTTTTATGATAAATATATGGATATGATGATTTGTATTTTTAGGTTTTCTTGGCATGTATATTAGTGAATGCGCTGTGTTCAACGTGATTCTATCGCTTCCACATAGCAGTAACTAGTAATATATGTTTAGCGAGCGTGCTTTTTGGCTAATCTACTGCTAGCATTTTGATAGTGTATGAAAATGAAAACCTAATCTGATCCTGCGAAGTGATATTCAGTTTAATTTATCAAATTAACATTGAGCCTGAACTAAAAATAACTATATTTTAGGTGGAGACTGCATTTGAAGATTTATGCTCGTTTACAGAAATGAAAGCTTTGGTAATTGATGCTGAAACATGGTCTGAAAATGCCAATGCAAACCTACAACTTTTAAAACGTGATGTTGGACAGGTCGTAAATAATAGTTCTGGTTATGAAAAAACTATGTGGGAAAGAATTGAGACAGAATTGGAAGAAGTTGATATTGAAAGCCTTGGATTTAACCATCCTCTATGTTCTGGAGTTCTAGATGTTAAATCAGAACCTTTCACAAAGATGCCTGGATCATTTTGCGATATTTTTAAGGAA